TTAACAGTTTTGAACTGGGTTGCGATAGTGCAACACAGCATTCATTTGAATCATTCAAGTTTTTTCTCGGCGTCTCTTGTCAGAACCTTCTTTCGTTGACCGAACATGTAAAAATACATCTGAGGGAAACCTGCAGTTGACGTATTAATTAGAACAACAAAGTACCTAATATGAAAAGCAATTGATGCCAAATGCACTTCAACGAAAACTGCGCATCTAGGGTAGAAAACGAATTTTCAAGAAATTGAACGAAGAGAAAAGTTAACTTTTTCAAGAAGCAAGAAGATACGTGTAAATCATAATTTCAACGAAATACGTAAATAATAATTTCAACAATGGTTCAATAAATACCCGGAACATAGAAGAGTATGAGTCCAATCAGATACCACCAAAATGAGAATGTCACATTGGCCGCATTTGGCATTTCAATCGTGAAATGTTTCCTCAGAGCTACCTGAAATTTCATTACATTAGGACTGCAAACACGAAACTGAACATTGAAGTAGAAGCTTGATATGAACGTTAAACAATCGAATTCTGCTAGAAATTATCAATTTTTGAATTCACAAAACTGGCCACGAGGCAATCAAACAAACAAGAAAATATGAAAACCTCAGGTAGTGCAGCAAACATTGTGAAAACCTCTCCAGATGCACCCATCGGGTAAAGAATGATGAAAAATGTATACCTGAAAAAATAACCATCCAGTAACACCATGCAATCTAGCATGAAAATGAAAATATGTTCTCTTCGAGGAATTCGTATAATCAGAAAAGAAAAACGAAATCAGGTTGGAAGATAAATGGAAAAAAATTGCGAATAAACATTCACCTCATCCATACGAGTAATCTTGGCACAGAGTTAATCAACGAGAGCGCATAGTAACTGTATCTGACAACTTCAGTGATTGACCATGCCAATAAAAGCATCGGCACACCGATGCTGTCACGAGCCTCCAAAACTACATCGTCAGTTTGTTTATGACAACAAATATGAATACAAACGAAAATCGAACCAAAAACAGATGAATAAAGAGAGAACATGAAGAGGAGACATTTGAAATATGGGAAAATTTTTTTCCCTACGAGTGAAATTGATTTATGCTTCTAATGAAATTCAAACTATTAACATTAAAATGTGAAATGATGTGGGAGATGATCGATGAAAAGCATACCGAAACAACTTTGTAGAGGACCATCCAAACGACGGTGACACGAGAGAAGACTTGGATTGCAGTTGTTCCAACTGGTGAACGAACGATACCGATCGCTGCGTGAACTATCTGAATCGTTAATGAAAATCAGTACTAAAGTCGTGACGGACTCTTTTTATAAAGATACCTTCATGATGACACAACGAAAGACAAATACAGTTTTCAGCTAAGTCCCAAAAGACACGTTTATTCCACGCACAAAAACGGAATTTTTTCATCCAAACTGACATTTTTATGATGACAACACTTTCATTGCGCCTGTGCAACTATGACCATGCATAAGAAAGGTTCATCAGTTACATCAGTACTCTAATGGCTCATAACTGAATTCTGCAGTTGAAAAAAAAACACACACAAAAAGGAGAACATATCTACTGCGGCTTAATGGATCAAAGTATTTTATCTAAACCAATTCATATTCAGAGCACATGAACTCAGATAAGCAACAAATAATCAGATTGGATTGCTAATAAGAATTCTGAGAACAAACAAAAGAGTGACTTCTCCTGGTCACAATTATTTCTTCGCTACCCATGTAAGCAATCGTAACTGATCTTTAAGAATGACTGAACTGATCAGTTTCAAACCTCTAGAATGGCTGCCGTTTGGAAGATTTGCAATTCGAGTTCAACACTCTCATATATTTTTGAATAGCTCATTCCACTGATCAGGCCCAGCAGTGTTTTCCACAATATCAAACCCCATCTGAAAATTGAACAAACACACTATTTTACAGTCGAAACGCGAAATTCATCAGCATTCTTAAAATCAACTGAACTGAATAATGAATGATTAAGATTGATTNTAATATCAATGGGCATTAATAAATTGAGAAATATTCGGTTAAAACGATATACCCAAGCACTTGTGCTGTGTTGTAACCGATGAGGTATGGACGTGCTAATGCCATTGTTCAACACGATGCTGTAAAAAAACAATGAAATTTTCAATTTTATCACCAGTTTCAACGTTCTTCCAAAATCATGTTTCATTCGTAATAAAATTTTGAATCACTGAGGCACCACTCGGATAACATGAAAGAAATGGTCAAAATAAAACAACGGGAAGTATTAAATTAAATACGCCAAGAAATATGTTAAAATACGACGAATCTTTTTTCAAATTGCAACAATTATCACAAAAGAATTTAGAGAGCATTCAAAACTGTTTATCGTCAATTTTGTCTTCTAATGAAACACAAATATGCTTATTAGCAATATTGACCCTAGAAGAGCACTGAAAAATACCAAAATACGTAACACATCAATCAAGACATAATAACTCGCAAAACAAACAAACTAGACCGAATGAATACGATAACACTTTAACGCACACTACTCACATACGATAATTGCAATCGAACCACCACTAATGTCACCACATATATTACACTAAAAGTTCAATCATCAGCAGTCACCCAAATGAAATTTTTAGAATCACTCAAGTCTAGTGATAATTCTGAACCACACACACCACTTACGATTAAAAGTACAACTCACACGCAACCACCAGCCATTAATTTAAATCAATTGCAGCACAGTCGCTCCAGTCTTTAATGCAGGCGATTCAAGCACTAAACATACGCTCGAAGCAACAACAAAATCGTCCATGAAGTACCGCAAACATTATGAATCAAATTCAGGAAAATAAGCCAATTTCGGCTT